CTCTAATAAACCTAATCATAATGTTGATTTGAAAGATCTTCCAAAGGACCCGGCAGATAGGCCAATGATTACAAGTTACAAAGCAAATGTAAGAGATGATGTAAGAAGAGCATATTTGCTTCAAGGACCTTGTCAAATAAGGCTTAATAAGCTTCCAAAAAAATTGGTGATAGATTAAGAAGATTCGTTCCTTCATGGTTTGAGGAGTTTGATTGGTTGGAATATATTGTGAAAAAGAATAAAGCATATTGTTTATATTGTTATGTGTGTGGAGACCTCATGAATCAAAGAGGAGGGAGAGATGCATTTGTTTCCCAATGTTTTGATACTTGGAATAAAAAAGATGCATTTCGGACTCATGTGGGTGGTGTTGATAGTTTTCACAACAAAACAAGAGAAAAGTGTGAGTTTTTAATAAGGGAAAAACAAGCTATCAATGTAGTCTTGAGGAGGCAAACCGAAGCGGAGGACCATATATATAAAGCTCGATTACGTGTTTCTATTATTATTGTTAGACTTCTATTTAAAACCGGTTTACCGTTTCGTGGTCATGACGAGTTGGTTAACTCGCAAAATAAAGGGCTTTACAATTAAGTGTTAAAAGCCATTTGAGAGACTAATGAAGAAATTTTCAAAAATACTTTAGAAAATGCTCCTAAAAACAATCAATTAATTTTCCCTAAAATTCAAAAATAACTTGTGCAATGTTTTGCACAAGAGGTAGTTTTGAGTATTCGCCAAGAGATTGATCAAGATGTATTTGCTTTATTCGTTAATGAATCTAGTGATGTCTCGAAAGAAGAACAAATGGCTATTGTTTTGCAATATGTCGATAGTCTTGGCTTTGTGAAGGAAAGATTCATTGGAGCTGTGCACGTGAAGGATACATTCTCTTTGACACTCAAAAACGCCATAAATGAAGTACTTACAAGTAATAAGTTGAGTTTTAGTCAGGTGATTTACTCTTTATTTTCTTGATATTTCAATTTAATTTAATTTTCTTTATATTTTATATTATATATATTTTTTAATTTTTTTAATAGATAAGAGGACAAGGTTACGATGGGGCTAGCAATATGCGAGGGGAATTCAATGGTTTGAAAGCTTTGATATTACAAGAGAATGACACAGTTTTTTATGTACATTGTTTTGCATACTGATGACGTGCCTAAGCTGGCACGGAAGAGTCGCGCCTGGCCAAGGAGCCTGGGGCACTGGTAGAGCCAGGCTCAGCAGGCTCAGCTCCCGCCAGCACCCCTAAAGAGCATGGCGCTCAGGCGAAAGGCTCGCGCCCGCCAGGGACGCTCCCAATATCAAGACAAAAGATACACTCAGGCAAAAGGCTCGCGCCCGCCAGGGACGCTCTCAATACCAAGACAAAAGATACGGTCAGGCGACAAGGCACAGGGTCAGACCATTATTGTCGGAGCCAATGATAGCGCTCTAAGGGAAAGAGGCGCACGATCCTCCAATCAACGCCTCTGACCTTGTCTCCTCAAAAGCGATCCTGTCTCGTACGGACGAACAGGGTCGCTAGGTATAAAAGGGCATGCTCAGGAGCTTAAGGGGTAAGCTATCTTCTTCCAGTAACACTCACACAAAGTGACCGCAAGTGTAGAAAGATGTTTTTCGAAGATGAAGCTCTTGAAGACCGACTTACGCAACAAAATTGGCGATGAATTTTTGAACGACGCGTTCCTTTGATATGTTGAGAACGAAGCACTTGTGAAAGTTGAGAATTAAAAAGTAATGGAACCGTTTCAAAAGATGATGAGACGAAGAGGACAAATTTAAATTGTAATAGATCGTTGTTATGTTTTTAACTTTTTATGTAATGGATTACTTTTTTATTAGATGTAATGAAAAAATGTCGGTTTTATATTATGTTTGGTCGAAAAAAAAATTCGGCAACCCTACAACCAATTCCTACGTCCGCCCCTGGTGCATTGATACCTTATTATTTGATAAAAATTGTATATTATATTTAACCCTATATATTTAAAAGTACAATTGCCACTTATAACTTATTTTTTTCTCTTTTCAAAATGGTTTTTAAGACATTTAAAAAAAACAAACTCAAGGTAGGTCATTTATTTTTTATTTTTTTAAGGTAGTTCCTAATTTTTATGGTATTATATATTATAAATGAAATTGAAATTTTAGGTAGGTCATAGGACCTACCTTCTTCTTTATTAGATACGCCCATGATTCAAACACTGCCCACTAAATAACTCGAGCTCAAAACTCGGTCTGAGCTCAACTTGAGTTTTAATTCCAAACTCGAGCTCAAGCTCAATAAAGTAATCAAGACTTTCGAGCTTGGTTCAACTCGACTTGATTAACTATTAAGAAAATAAAATTAAAATAGAAATGTGATTAAGCTCGTAAGCTTAACTCAACTCGGCTTTATAATATGTAATATGAATAAAACAAAAGGTTAAATGTGTAAATATAACAATGATCGATTAAGCTACCGTGCTTCAGGAGTTGAGTATTTAACACTCAAGCTTGGGTTGGTACTATGCTTGAGTAGCTCGAGCTTAACTCGAACTGAACTGAGTCGATTTCGAGTCTTTCGAATTGGTCTCGAGAATCTCACGAATTGGCCTGACACTGTTACAACCCTAGTTATCAATAACTTAGAATGACTATTTATATGATGAATATGTCTTTTTTTTTAAAAACCACAAAAAATCATAAAACAAAAAGAAAATGCAGCCAATGGGAAGTCGGACTAGATACAATCAATTCGAAATACACGAAGTAAAGGACGTAAATACAATGAGTTCGAATTATATGTACGTTTAATTTAAATTTTGATAAAGTAAAGGGAGAATTTCATATACATGTATATTCATAATTACGTCTATATCTTTGTAAAACTTCAAATTACATGTATATCCTATTAAAATCTATAAACTTACAAATATACCAAAATACTTAATTTAATCATTTTTAATATATATTTAAAAATTAAAAACAATATGTTTAAATTAGATTATAACTTAATTACTAAGTACCCATTTGGAATCCTTCATATAACCGGTCTTCTTATTCATGACATGATTCTTTGTCACATCATATTCTGTTAAATGATTAGCAAAACCCGGTGATTATATATTACTAGTCGCTTGGTAAACAATATATATTTCATCTCCTACAATTGATTTAGAAGACCTACGATTTTCTTCACTAAACAATTTTGTTATTTCTCTAGTTCTTCAATTACAGGTAAAATCATGAAAAAACTAATTTCAATGTGAGTGTCAATATTTTGTAATGATTAATGAAGTAAATAAATCGAAATTAACAATATGAAGAAGAGTTTATTGTAATGTTATAAGTTAACTATTTTTTTAATAACAAAAAATCAATATAAAGAAGGTGTTTTTATTTTTTAATACATTAAATATAATTAAATTAAGTATTTGAGTATATATGTGAGTTGAAAATTTAAATATCCTCTATCTTTGTGAGTTATTTGACTGACTAGACAGAAAGAAGGTCAACCCTTAGACCGACCGACGTTTTGATTTTTTTATGGGTTGGAGGGAAACACGTATGTGTGGACCTTACAGGGGTATCCCCTCTCGTGGGCTTGAGGGCTCACAGTGGGACAGACTGCTTTAAAAATGCTACCAGCAAGGTCACCAAACATGAGAAATCGTGCATGGAAAATCAACACGTGTTCATACTATTTGCATTTGATACGTTTGGTTTCCTCGCGCCGGATGCGATTGAGTTTTTTTAAGAGTGTACAACGGATCATGCATACCAATGTTATATCCCCTAGATCTATAGATGTAGTCTTTAAAATAATTGACTTTACCATACAAAAAGACTTAGCGACACAGCTTGTTGTCCGTTTATCATCTAACTCGTTGTACAATGATAATTAAGTTTTATTAAAAATATATAACATAATTTTGAATTGTTATATATATATATATATATATATATATATATATATATATATATATATATATATGCCTATTCTAATAAATAAATAGGTTTATTCTTATATTGACAAGTGTCATAGTATTATAACTCCTCATTAATATTATATGTCACTTATAATGTCAATTGTCAACATATTAGTTATCAATTTCAAATTTCAAATTTTCAACTCTAATTATATTAAATTAATAGTTGATTCTTCATTTTAAATTACAAATTTTAAATTTTTTCACTCTAACTATATTAAATTAATAACATTAAATTAAAAAATAAAATAAAATTAATACAGATTATAAGGTGATATAACTTCACGTATTTATTTAAATCAACGATTATAATTATATATTACTAGAAAAATCTTTTAAATAATAAATGATTAATAATTTTGATTTTTTAATATGAAAGTTTAATTAATTTTATAATCGTGGTTCTCACGGGTTATAAACTAATGTGCGTGTGTGTGTGTGTGTGTGTATATATATATATACTAGGTTACAACTCGTGGGAACCACGGATAAAAAATTTATAAAACATTTATATTATTAATAAGAGTTAAGTTTGTTTAAAACTTTTTGTATTGATTATTTAAAATTGGAGGACTAAATCGGGTATCTATTTCAAACGTATCAAATTAAATTTAAATAGAGATCATATACAATAAATACCATAAAAATCGGATATTAAATGCTGATTTATTTTGAAATTTAAATAGATATCATATACCATAAATACCATAAAAATCGGATATTAAATGCTGATTTATTTTGACTTGGACATTATAGAAAGTGAAATTAAAGAGGGGCAAAAACGGTATTTAACATCGGATGAAATTAATGTTTTTGAAGGGGCGCGTGACAATTTACTTTCGTTTATTAGTTAGGGATATATATATATATATATATATATATATATATATATATATATATATATATATAATTTTATAAAAAAATAAACGTAATTATAAAAATTTTACAAAGATATATTCTGCTGATTAAACATAAATTGAATGTAAAACTGGTTAGTTTATATTAAACTGAATAATTCTTTATACATCGTTCCCCTTTGTGCCCTAATACCCTTTTGACACAAACACACATCTCATACGATTTTTTTCTGGTTATCACCTCAGGCCACTCCATCGCTTTCCTCCTCCTGCGCGCCACTCCATCTCCTTCCTCCGCTAGCGCCGCCGACTGTAAGTTCTCTTCTCCATCTATGAATTCGATTTCTATCATCCGAAATCAATTTTCTTCTCCACCTCCGGCAATAAATAAACATGAAAGGTGATTTCGAATATGATTATCAACACATTCACAGATTCGGTGCCAATTTGGGGCCTTGTCTGCATATTTACAGATGTGGTCTAGGGTTTAAGTTTAATCGTGTTCGTATTCAACTTTCAATCCACCGTTTCTTCGCTTTGATTCGCTCTTCTATCCCTTTTGTAATTTAACCACCGATTGTTCAGTGTAAGTCGAAAACAAGATGAGGAAGCTCAAGTTTCATGAGAAGAAGCTACTGAAGAAAGTTAATTTCTTGGAATGGAAGAGAGAAGGCGGACACAGAGAAGCTCATGTCATGCATCGCTACCATGTTACTGGTCGTGACGACTACAAGAAGTAAGAACCCTAACCCTAACCCTAACCATCTCCTTTCAATTTCTAAATTTTCAATTCCTGCGCTTCAATTAGGTCAATCAGTTTTCTGTTTTTTGATATTTCAATTAGCAAATTCATTTGAATATCTGAAGTCAATTTCAACCAATTCATACTAATCAACATGTTCGTTCTTCTGGGTAAAACTAGGTACTCGAGTTTGTGTAGAATGACACAAAAACTCGTAAACATTTTGAAGCAGATGGATCCTAGAGATCCTTACAGAATCGAGATGACAGATGCCCTTCTTGAAAAACTGTGAGTTTATTCATATTCTTTTATTCTTTCTATTAAAATATATTTATTCAAATATATTTATATGATTAAAATGTAGATACAACATGGGTGTGATTCCTTCTCAAAAAAGCTTAGCATTATGTGACAAATTATCCGTTTCGTCGTTTTGTAGGTAAATATATAATTTCAAAATATATATATTTTCTATTTTCATAATAAGAAAAAATAGAAATAGAGTTATAATATTTGTTGATTGTGTTATTAAAGACGTAGGCTTGCGACTGTTTTGGTGAGATTGAAATTTGCTGAACATTTGAAAGAGGCTGTGACTTATATAGAACAGGGACATGTGAGAGTGGGCCCGGATACTGTTACAGATCCTGCTTTTTTGGTAACAAGAAATATGGAAGATTTTATAACGTGGGTTGATACATCCAAAATTAAAAGAAAGGTTATGGTGTATAATGATAAGCTTGATGATTATGATGCAATGGTTTGAATTTGATTCGAATCTTAATGGTTAATGGGTTTGTGACATTTTTGTTTATGGTTTTTTGATTGTTAAGTAGATTTTTATGTGTATTGTATTTTTTCGGCTATATGAAAGAATAACAATGTACTTTCTTTTTAATTATTATTATAATGTTGTACTTTTGTTTTATTATTATTATTATTTTTTTAAGTTGATAGTAATGTGTGACATGTTTATTTGAATGATGATAAAATGAGGCAAACTAATTGGTCATTTATACAATGTTATTGTCCATAGGATGCCTTTATGTAATCTATTTGTTTTGTTAGAGTAAATTACATTTTTGGTAACTAAATATAACATTTTTTTTTCAATTTTGGTCCTAAAAAAATTTCTAGTTTTGGTATTTATTTGATGTTCTTGTAATTTTGCTTTGTTTTATTTGTATACAAATGATTTTTTCAAATTTGGGCTACAAAAAGTTTTCTTGCAATTTTGGTTTTCATTTGAGGTTTTTGTTACAAGCTTGAGTCAATGTTCTTAGTGGAAATGAATATTTTTGGTCCTTTAATATAACTTAGTAATGCAAATTTGATTTGATATGTAGCCATTTTGGTTAAAAAAAACTTATTTTTGCAACTTTGGTCTACAATGTAGTTGTTTTCTTGCAACAAGGACCAAAAACATTACAAAAGCCATAAATAAGGACCAAAATTATAACAAAAAACATTTTAGCATCCACACAAATTAGACATCTAATCATACAATCCTTAATGTAGTGAATTTTATGAGTTGGAAGGATGTATAAAATCCTCAAAACAAATAACACTCTTAAATTGAAACATTTTTCTTTCACCAAAACATAGCCTAAGAAACAAAGGATGAAAGAAAAACAATCCAAGATTTTCTATTTTCCTTCTTAATAAAACACAAATCACACATTACAAGTAAAATACAACCCAAACATCTAACCCTAACACTCAAATCCCTCCCTAAAACATCAAAATAATCAAGAACACATACACATATTTTATAACAAGACACAAACACAATATATAATATATATACAAAACTAAATAAAAATAAACAAACACTCACAAAAGTTCCTTGTCATAAAAAGCAAGAAGTTGTTTGACATGATTATTCCAAGCCGCCACATTTTGCCCATCAACCGTCACCCAATCAACAACCGTAGATCCCGGTTGTTCCCACCACTCTTCCAACTACACATCACAATTTCATATTTAAATATTTCATTTATTAATTAATTGTATTAAAAAAAAAATTCAATTTTCTTTTTACTTACCAATCCAGACACGTATTTACAATCTTCAAGACTCTTCTGAGCATTCACAACTCCATTCCTTAACTCGGGCAACCACTTTTCCATAATCGTCTTCTCTTGTTCAGAAGCCAAATCTAGACAATAGCTTGTTGTCCTGCAAAAGGAATGGAATCAGAAAATGGAATCGGAATCAAAAGAACGGAGTATAATTCCGTATAATTCATCAACATGGAATTTGAAGGATTCTGATAGAATTAAATTCCGTTTATTTTGCAGAGGAATGGAATTGTGGATTCCGATTCCATCGGAATCACTGATTCCAATTCTGTCATAATCGCTGATTCTGGTTCCACCTTCAGATATCACTAAGTTCTGTTTATTTGGTAGCGGAATGGAATCATAGATTCTGATTCCAACAGAATCACAGATTCAGATGGAATCAGAATCACTGATTCCGATTCCATCAAATCACTGATTCCGATTCTTTCAGAATCACTGCTTCTAGTTCGACCTTCAGATATAATTATATTCCGATAATTTTGAAGAGGAATAGAATCACGGATTCCGATTCCATCGGAATCACAGATTCCGGTTCCACTCTCATACCTTTCGTATTCTTGTTGATTGTGATAAGCATGGTTTAGTAACGCATGACCACTTTCCACAAGATCCCTCCTTATATGAACCAAATTGATAGCCTTTGCTAAGTCCTCCAAAACACAAGCTTCCGAACCCCGCAATTTCAAACAAAATTCCATCGATTCCAACACCGATGCCAAGCCGGCATCCGAACCTTCCAACCCTAAAATTAACCAAGGGTATTTTAGTAATTTCACATCACTCCAACACACACACACACACACACACCTGCAGGATATTGAAGGGCGGCGGAAACACGACAAATGGAAGGAATAGCAGAGGGGTCTCGGGCACCTGCCCGGGCAGTCAAAAGGGCAGCATTCTTTTCTGCAGCAATGACAGCATCAGGTCCAGTAGAGCCACTCATTGACTCCACCAGTGCTTGTGGGGTTGATGGAAGCATGTAAAGGGTATTATCGGGATTTCTATAAAAAGCCGAAACTTCTTGATCAATCAAATCTTTTGCAGCATTTGATATCTCCATCACAACTTTACAAGCTGGAATAATTGTACTCGATGCATAGTCTCTTGCAGCTAACGGTTGTTGACTCCAAAATGCAGCAGCATCCTACAACATTGTCAAAAAGACATAAATACCCTCCTCATAGAAAAAGTAAAACTTATCTTATTACATTGTTTGCTTTAAGTAGAGCACTGTAGATGGATTTGAGTTCTAATCTTCTAGCATCAAACTCTTCGATTTTCTTCCATTTTTTCTTTAAAGAATCTTCAGCTTCTTTTCTTTCTTCACATAACATGTTTAATCTTTGTACTTCAGACATTAATGTTGTCAAACTTGCTTTCAATCCAGAAGCTTCTCTTTCTTTCTCCCAAACCTCCAGCTGTATAAAAACAAATGGATAAAATAACAAATTAAAATAAAAAAATAAATATAGCTATTAATAATTTAATATTACCTCTAATTGTCTGAGACTACTCATGGTTTGTGAGGTTCCTCCAACATTAAGAGAATGTGAAGGGTCAAAGTCAACACTTCCATATAAACGTTTCAAAAGCTTTTGACATATGCTTCTAGCTTCTGCAGCTTTATTGAGTTCATCTTCTGTAGCAACAAATTGTTGAACATGTGCTTTCTGTGAACAAAAAAAGATAGATTTCATTATAAAGAAGTGAGTAGTTTAAGGAAGAGAAAGAAAGAAAGAAAGATAAATACCTGTCTTTCAAGAAGTTGATTTTGAGTTCCTTTTGAAGGCATATCAACTCCAAGTTTCCCATTTCCATAAACTTGAAAGGGTAATGGTGAGTTTACATCAGGAGAAGAATCATGCATTACTCTATTGTTTTCATATTTGTATCTTAACATATCTGCATCAGCTCTAATGTCAATTTTCTCTATTTCTTTTGTGATTAATGATTTCAACCTGTGTGTGTAAGTGGTTATGGCAAGAAGTAAGTGCTGAGGGCTTTTCAGACAATTGACAATTACATCTAGCACTTCATTGGGTATATCTCCATCAACATCGACACCTAATTTTGCAGCTTCCATTTGAGGATTTTGATGGATACCATTTCCTTCGTATGCAGGAAAAGATGAGCGAATCTTGTCAATCATTTGTATTGCGAGAGATTCACATGCCTTGCGGATGTTTCTTTCCCTGTTTGTTTCAATTAGAATTACATCGTCTGCAGGTTTTGACCCTTTTACAGTGGAATAAACGTCTTCCTTTTCGTTGTTCATTTGGAAGCTTGTGACAACTTCCATGGAGGAATCTGTGTCTAGTCTCTGAGCATTCTTGACTTGATTAACATATAGGCGAAGTCGCTTATGGTATTCAGAAAATATCATCGCTGCTTCATCGCATTGTTGATCATACGCATCCAACATCACCTGTTTATGCCTGGAATAAGAATGATAATAAATGTTTGATCTTTGGACTATAGAATATTCAATAAGTCGATGGTTTTGGATCCCAAACCTGTAATTCGATCGTTCATCAAGCATTCGTTTGCGTTCAGCCTCCTCACGAGAAACCTCCAACATTCGAGCTTTCAACTCCTTCCGCTGGCGTCTCACCATATGCCTCAACCTCTCCACCTCCTTCTCCGCCGATTCTCTCTCCTGCAAAGCTGTCTCTCGACTATTACTCTCCCCAACAATGGAACTCCCGGCTACTTTCTCCTTCCTCCTTCCTCCTCTACTCCGTCGTCCAGACTCACCACTTTTCGCCGTCTCTACACCACCATCAGCACCGGAGGCAGCGTTTGCGTTTTCCTTTCCGCCGTGAACAAGTATGTTGCGCCGGATATTATCAACGGTCTTCTCAGATTTAACCCTGTTCAGTAAAAAACTCCAAACAGGAATCATATTCCCACGGCAAACCCTACGAATTGCATCAGATGAAGGCATTGATGCTTTACTTGAAGCAATGTAAGGGCCTAGTGGTCTATATCCCATTTCCTTCTGAAGCCAATCTAATATGGCATCTGGTTGCGCTACAGAGCTCGTTGAAGAGCTCTGCATTGTTGCGAGAAACCAAAAAGGGAAACAGAATTAGGGTAGTGAAACACCAAATTGGATGAACTGACACTGAATTTGAACACTTGGTATCTTCGATTTGAATGAATTAGTTTGGTGGTGAAAGTAAAACCCTAGGATTTGGTTTGAAGTGGGGGGAAGTACTGTAGAAAGAAAGAAGTAGATCTACAGATTTTGGTGGGTTTGGCCGGCAGTCTACCGAACTGGATAAAAAAACAGTTCTTTTTTCTTGAATACAAACATGAAGCCGAATGTATGTTTAAAACAGAGGATAATTTATTAATGAGTAATCTAATCTAATATAAACGAATAATTTAATAAAAATAACTAATTTTATAAATTTTTAAAAAATGACTATTGTTTTCAGAGCATTATGAGAAGTAATATGTATTTCGAACTATAGGGTGGTAGATGAATCTTCGATTTTGGAATATCTTATATTCTGGGCTCAGAAAGTCAATTCTGGAGTATGATAGTTAATATTGTACATATAATTGACATTTCGGATACACGGACACACATTCCAGACAAAAAAAAAAGATATTTTGTCCCTACATAAAATGGTATTCCATTTAGTTAGTCACTTACTTTAAATCATCCATAATTCTCTATTATAACTGCTAGACGACGAGCTCAGACAGTGAACACGAAGAAAACTTTACCAACTTGCATGTTTACCTGCACAACCTTGGTCGGATGAACACTCAT